CTGGGAGGATGAGTCCTCCTCGTCACTCATTGGATTCTCAGAAGGGTCTGTAAACTACCCAGAAAGGTTAAGAACCACGGTCCTTAAAGGAGCCCTCCAGCCCACCCAGCCCAGCTCCCGAAGCCCTTCCATGTGGTGGCGTCCAAGCCTGAACCAGCAGTGTGAACAGGCATCGTCCTCCATGCTGAACTCCAGAGGCACCCACAGGGCAAATGATGATGATAGTGCCTCTTAGCAGGTTTTAAGGCCTCTTCAACAAACATCCACACCATCACCCCCGGTGTCCTGTCTCCTGCAGGGTGCCGACCCCTCAACGAGGGAGACAGCCCACCGCTCTGGGCTTCCTTTGGTGCACCTGGGCTCGCCCTCCCTCTGCCAGCGCTCTGCACCCCCGGGACACACCCACTTTGAGGGCATGATCTGTGCTGCTTGCCAAGAGCCTGGTCATGCCTCCAGCCAGAGCTCATTCGGGAAGACCTCAGAGACAGAGAGATTCCTCCAGGACTCAAGAGAGTAAGGATGAGGCCTGTCTGTGCTGCCCTGGCCTTCATGTCACACCCTTGTCCACAGCCAGCTCCCTGCCTGAGGCCATGCCCTTCCCCAGGCGGGTGACTCCAGGACTGACTCCTGTTGTCCAGCAGGACCTGCCGCTCCGCTCAGAGCAGTCCCATAGGGTGCCTCTGGTGGTGATGGGCGCCATCACCCACGGGGCCCTGCCTACATAACCTCTTCCTCAGGCAAGTTAGGACCCTCCCCTTAGTCATGAAACCAGCAGACGGCCCAGAATCCCTCAGATCACCCAGCTGGCCCCCGGCAAGCCGACTGCAGGGCTGTCTTTAGGAGAGTCCTAATTCCTCTCCTTGGCTTTTCAGAACTTCCTGGTGTACAGCAAACTCCTGTGTCTTGGGGCCCGTTGACATTCACATGGATTCCCCAGCCGTGACGGTCCTTCAGGGCTCTATTTTAGAGTCTTTCGTGACCACATTTTGCCCGTGAGCCAAAATCCCAAGCCAAGGGCCGGCATGTTGGTAAACTTCCAGGGAGGGTTGGGCTTGTTTGCCTCTCATGAACCTGGGACACCTTGAACTTGTCATTCTAGAAGCCCTGATTCTAGTGTAACTGTGCTCTTTCATCAACTGTAATCTGAAGACACCAGCACCAGGGAAGCAGTCAGTAAAAGCTGGCTGAACTGAAGGCGAGGACTTTGAGCATCTGCCAAGTCAGTTGTTTCTGTTACAAGCATTCAATGAACATTTATTGAGTGCCTGCTGGGTGCCCGGCTCCAGGGACCTGGAGGGGAATACAGCAGGCGTCGTCTTGAGGACACGAGGCTTAAGGCGCAAAATGGCAGCGAACTGCTCCTCCTTCTCTCCCCGGGCACCCTGGCTGATTACACAGTTTACGCGGGCTGACAGCCTCAATATTTATCTCACAGCCTGGTGCCAGCATACCAATTACGGAAGAGCGCTCCCGGCCCCAGACTTCCCACTGGATAATTGGCAGTGAGTGGCTCTTCTGAGGGCCCAAGACGTATGTGAGCTGCCCACGCGCATCGGCTGGGTTAGGCGGGCATGCCTGAAAAGTCATTAACACCTACTGTCCCCCTCTCTTGTGTGGGCACTGCCCCTTCTGGTGAGAAGTGAAGGTGTTAATAACCCCTTTGCGTGCGCACTTAGTCACTTGGTTGTGACCAGCTCTTTGCAACCCCATGGAATGTAGCCTGCAGGCTCCTCCATCCATGCAATTTTTCAGGCAAGAATACTAGATTGGGTTGCCATTTCTTACTCCAAGGGATCTTCCCGACCCAGGAGTCGTATCCACATCTCTTGTGGCTCCTGCATTGGCAGGCAGATTCTTTACCACCAGGACCACCTGGGAAGCCCCAACCATAGTGACCATTAATGGTGTGCAGAGCCTTCTAACCAATTTCTCCCAAATGCAGCAGTGGAAGTGCCTCCTCAAGCCTTGTGGCTGCAGCTGCACCACTCATTCCATCACCTTCCCTTTCTTTGTGCTGCAGCTGGAGCATTTCAGAAGTCAGGTCATCAAGGCAACCTACGGACGAGCGAAGCCGTTCCAGGACAAGCCCGTCTCCGATCAGCAGGTTTGTCTCTCTTCCCCACTTTCTTCCTCAGGGACCTGGGACTCCAGACACTGGGAGCATATGTTTCTGTTTCTTATTGGTGGCACATATTTTTCACACTGTTGCTACACCATGAAGATTTGTTTTGACATTCTGGGATTTCCTGGCTTTTAGAGTAAAAGCCAGTTAAAGTGTTGAAGCCTTGAAGTGTTTCTGTGAAAATCAAATGGAACCACCCAGGCCTGTGTCTGGTCTCCAGGCCTGCGTGGTCCACTTCCATTAGTCCCATGTGGAAAGAGCCTTGCCATAGAGCAAGCGTCCTGGCTCGAACCTCCTGAAGAGGGCAGCCAGCAGCAAGGATGTGCCTCTGGCTGTAAGGACTGAGTTGTTATTCTTCTGTTTGTCCCCTCCAACCCTGTGTCAGCACACGAGTGAAAAATTTATACCATGGACTGCTCTCAGATAACCCAGCCTTCTCTTTCGGGCCCCACAGCATCAGGCTCAGCGTGATGAATCACTCCCAGAGTTCCGAAGAATCTAGAACACACGCAGGGCCACATGACAAGCCTTTGGCTCTTAAAAATCATCTCTGATCCTGGGAAACATGCCCCGGTGACAGAGCCGACATTCCCTCCAGAGCCATCACCCAAATGTGCCAGGACCTCCCTCCCCAACCCTGCGGAGATGGGAGCTCAAGCCCATGCCCTCCCCCCACCCAGGGCCCCTCCCCCCAGAACCACCCTGCAATGTCAGTCTTTTTTATTTTTATTTTTTCCCATTAGTTAATAGAGAAGATCACCCAGGTCACTGAGGACAACATCAACTTTCAGCAGAAAAAGTGGACCCTGCAGAAGGAGACCCAGCTCGGCCTCTGCCGACAGGAAGAGGTCACAGACAGCGTTGAGAAACTGAAGAAGGCCTTAGACAGTTGCCAGGTGCCCTCCTCCGCTTCTCACCCGTGTCCCCCATGGCTCACGTTCTGCTCCTTGTTCAGAACATCATCCGGCTCTGCTTTTCTGCCCACCTTCTCTCTTGCTGGAGAAATCTGTTTGAGGTAGAAAACAAAGGACCTCGAAATCTGCCTCCCAGGTGAACTTGGTGTGGCCAAGAAAAAGCTGCCCGACACTCCCCTTTGGGAGGCCCCTGGACCTCAGGGGAAGAAATGTGGCTGTTCAGTCACTCAGTCGTGTCTGACTCTTTGTGACCCCGTGGACTGCAGCACGCCAGACTTCCCTGTCCTTCACTGTCTCCTGGAGTTTGTTCAAACTCATGTCCGTTAAGCCAGTGATGCCATCCAACCATCTCATCCTCTGTCGCCCCCTTCTCCTCTTGCCCTCAAAATAGCCCTGGGTTATTTCCAGAGAAACCAAGAAAACATCCTGCTCTTCATTTGCGTTTTTCTTTTTTGTCCCAGCAGTGGAAAGGCTGCTCTTACCCTAGTCGCTTTTGACTCTGGAGGAGACAAGACTGGTTCAGACCGACCACCACCCCCCACCTCCCAGCCCCCACCCGGGGAACCAGCTTTATCAGAGCAGGCAGCTGCTTCTGCTTTCTCTGGAAATAAGCAGCTGCTATTTGGGGAATCTGTGTGAATGTTGGCTTGTCAGCACTTTTTCAAGTCAGGAAATCGGACTTTCTGACCAGCTTGTGTGTTGATCTCAGCAGGAATTTTGTAGCCAAATTTGGTTCTCATTTCAGCCAAATCGTCCTTGGCAATTTGGCTTTGGAATTGCCTGTACCTAAACATGGGATCTCTTCCTTTTTCTGTTTTTTTTTTTTTATTTCTTTTTATTTATTTTGTTTATTGGCTGCACCAGATATTATTTGCAGCATGTGGGACCTTCAATCTTCATTGCTGCATATGGGATTTTTTAATTGTGGCACGTGGGATCTAGTTCCCTGGCCAGGGATCAAATGAACCCACTGTATTGGGAACACAGAGTCTTCACCACTGAACCACCAGGGAAGTCCCTTTCTTTGCTTTTTATTTTATATTGGGGTGTGGCCGATTATATCCTGGGCTTCCTTTGTGGCTCAGCTCGTAAAGAATCCGCCTGCAATGCGGGAGACCTGGGTTCGATCCCTGGGTTGGGATAATTCACTGGAGAAGGGAAAGGCTACCCACTCCAGTATTCTGGTCTGGAGAATTCCATGGACTGTATAGTCCAATGGGGTCGCAAAGAGTCAGACATGACTGAACGACTTTCACTTTCACTTTCATAGCCGAGTAACACACCATGTTGTGGTGGTTTCAGGTGAACGGCCAAGGGACTCAGCCATCCATATACATGCGTCCATTCTCCCCTGAACTCCCCTCCCATCCAGGCTGCCACATAACTTTGAGGGAGTTCCATGTGCTGTACAGTAGGTCCTTACTGGTTATCCATTTTAAATATAGCAGTGTGTACATGTCCATCCCCAACTCCCTAACTATCCCTTCCCTCCATAAGGGGTTGCTGACCCCCAGCAACCATAAATTCATTCTCTAAGTCTGTAAACACGGGGTCTCTTTGACCATCAAAAGTCCCAATTAAAGTGCACACAAAATAAAAGCTGCCCCCTCGTCCCACCCACCCCCTAAAAGGCAACTAGAAGTGGGCCATCCCAGGGCACTTCCTGCTTCAAGAACACATCAAGAACACTGCTCTCTGTGGGTCACGATGGTCGGGTGCTATCTCTGGCAATGGTGTCCTGACTCCTCACGACCTCCTCTCTTTCCAGATTTGCATGAAGACGTCGTGCTGTAGCAACGACCTGAGGAAGGAGGTCAGCTTCCTGCAGCGCCTGCAGGTGAGCCCACCTGTCTCGGGGCTCCAGAAGGTGTCACTGGACATTCTGCGCCTGTCGCTGTCCTGGCTGGAGGAAACAGAGCACCTCCTCCAAGAGGTGGGCATCCAGTTCTCCAGCTCCAACAAAGGTAACGGCAGCCCTCTTCTGTAGTTGCCTGACTGAAATGTCACGACGAATCTGATCGCGACGGGACATCTGTTGAGGGAGGCTTCTTGTTGGGTGTGCAGCCAAGCGTTCCCTTCTCCAGACTTAACTTCGCTTCACCACTTGAGAAGTGATGTTCCAGGAAAAGAGTATACACAAGTGAGACATGACTGCTGGAGAAAAATGAGATGTGACAGAGGCAATAGGAAGAAGCAAAATTATGCCAAATCTTCTCTCTTAGAAGTTACCGCATATATATAAAAATACACTGTTTTTAAAGCAGTTTTGGTTTCACAGAAAATTGAGAGGATGATATGGAGATTTCCGAGGTACCCTCCATCGCCATTCATGCACAGCCCCCCAGTTATCAACATCAGCACCAGAGAGGTACAGCTGTTGCAGCTGATGAACCTACATGGAAACATCATAATCACCCAAAGCCCATGGTTTACATTGGAAAGAAAAGTGCAAGTTGCTCAGTCATGTCTGACTCTTTGTGACCCCATCGACTATACAGTCCATGGAATTTTTCAGGCCAGCGTACTGGAGTGGGTAGCCTTTCCCTTCTCCAGGGGATCTTCCCAACCCAGGGATTGAACCTAGGTCTCCCACATTCGGGGGGATTCTTTACCAGCTGAGCCACAAGGGAAACCCAAGAATACTGGAGTGGGTAGCCTATTCCTTCTCCAATGGATCTTCCCCACCCAGGAATCAAGCCAGGGTCTCTGTGTTGCAGGTGGATTCTTTACCAACTGAGCTATCAGGGAAGCTATCAGGTTTACTTTGGGGTTCACTCTTTAATTTTAATTTTACTGGAGTGTAGTTGATCTGCAGTGTTGTGTAGGGTTTACTCTTGTACATTCTATGGATTTGGGCTTGGACAAATGTGTGATAACATGTAGCTACCATTATAATATCATACGGAATAGTCTCATTGCCCTAAAAATCCTCTGTGCTTCCTCCCTGACCCCCAGTCCCTGGCAACCACAGATCTGTTTTACTGTCACCATGGTTTTTTGCCTTTTCTAAAATATCATATAGTTGGAATCATACAACTTTTCAGATTAGTTTCTTTTACTTAATAATATGCATTTAAGTTTCCTCTAAGTTTTTTCATGGCTTGACAGCTCTTTTTTTAGTGCCAAATAATATTCCATTGCTTCCCAAGTAGCACAGTGGTAAAGAACCCTCCTGCCAATGCAGAAGACACAGGAAACAAGGGTTTGATCCTAGGGTCAGGAAGATCCCCTGGAGTAGGAAATGGCAACCCACTCCACTGCAGTATTCTCACCTGGAAAATTCCATAGACAGAGGAGCCTGGCAGGCTGCAATCCAAGAGGCTGACAGAGTGACTAAGCACTGAGCAGTGTTCCATTACCCATTCACCGACTGAAGGACATCCTGGTTGTTTCCAAGTTTGGACAATTATGAATAAAGCTGCCATAAACGTCCACGTGCAGGTTTGTGTGTGGGCGTGTTTTCAGCTCCTTTGAGTAAATACCAAGGGTGTAGTTGCTGGATCGTGTGGTTAGAGTACGTTTAGTTTTTAATGAAAGCACAAAGCTCTCTTCCAAAGTGACTGTATTTTGCATTCCCACCAGCAATGAGTGAGAGTTCCTGTGGCCTCACATCCTGGACAGTATTTGATATTGTCAACACTCACATTCTTTGTGTAACTTCCAAGGCATTTTCCCATGGAAAGAGCTGTGTGAGTCTAGGCAAGTTATTCCCCTCTCTGTGCCTCAGTTTCCTTATCTGTAAAATGGGGATAATAGGGTGTACTCACTCCATAGGATTCTTGTGAGGATTAAAATGCATTAATATATCTAAAGTATTTAAAAATAGTACCTGTCATAGAATAGGTTCTACCTGTAAATGTTAATTGATTTATTAACTTTATAAAAAAATAATGTCATACCCAGTTTTCTTTAGTTTTGTTCCTAACAGTACATCAGGAACACCCTTCCATGTCAATGCACACATCATCACTGTCACTGATGATGAGGAATCCCACTATGTAGGATGTACCATAATTTATTTAGCCAATCCTCTATCTTGGGCATTTAAGTTGTTTCCAGTTTTTCACATATAGAAATGATGCTGACATAAATATTGTTAACTTTATCTTTATCATCTGAGATGTGGAAAGATATGAACCACTTTCACTCAGCAAAGATTTATTGCACGTCTACTAGATACCAGGCACCATACCAGGCAGAGATATAATGGGGTCAAAAACAGGTAGAATCTAGATCTTGGCTATAAAACTCCTCCTTATTTACTGTGAATCTGAACTCTTTCATAATAAAATATTGCTGAGACAACAGGCTCTATCCCAGCCCTTGTAGATTTTGTGGTCTCAGGAAAGGATAGGATCTTCAGTTCAGTCATTCAGTCCTGTCCAACTCTTTGCAACACCATGGACTGCAGCACGCCAGGCTTCCCTGTCCATCACCAACTCCCGGAGCTTACTCAAACTCATGTCCATCCAGTCGGTGATGCCATCCAACCATTTCATCCTCTGCTGTCCCCTTCTCCTCCCACCTTCAATCTTTCCCAGCATCAGGGTCTTCTCAAATGAGTCAGTTCTTTGCATCAGGTGGTCAAAGTATTGGAGCTTCAGCTTCAGCATCAGTCCTTCCAATGAATATTCAGGACTGATTTCCTTTAGGATGGACTGGTTGGATCTCCTTGCAGTCCAAGGGACTCTCAAGAGTCTTCTCCAACACCACAGTTGAAAAGCATCAATTCTTTGGCACTCAGCTTTCTTTATGGTCCAACTCTCACATCCATACATGACTACTGGAAAAACCATAGTTTTGACGTTTGTTGGCAAAGTCATGTCTCTGCTTTTGAATATGCTATCCAGGTTCGCCATAGCTTTTGTTCCAAGGAGCAAACATCTTTTAATTTCATGGTTGCAGTCATCATCTGCAGTGATTTTGGAGCCCAAGAAAATAAATTTTGTCACTGTTTCCATTGTTTCCCCATCTATTTGCCATGAAGTGATGGGACAAGATGCCATGGTCTTAGTTTTCTGAATGTTCAGTTTTAAGCCAGCTTTTTCACTTTCCTCTTTCACTTTCATCAAGAGGCCCTGTAGTTCCTCTTCGCTTTCTGCCATAGGATGGTGTCATCTGCATATATGAGGTTATTGATATTTCTCCCAGCAATCTTGATTCCAGCTTGAGCTTCATACAGCCTGGCATTTCACATGATGTACTCTGAATATAAGTTAAATAAGCAGAGTGACAGTATACAGCCTTAACTCCTTTCCTGATTTGGAACCAGTCTGTTGTTCCATATATAGTTCTAACAGTTGCTTCTTGACCTCCATACAGATTTCTCAGACGGCAGGTAAGGTGGCCTGGTATTCCCATCTCTTGAAGAATTTTCCACAGTTTGTTGTGATCCACACAGTCAAAGGCTTTGGTGTAGTCAATAAAGCAGAAGTAGATGTGTTTCTGGAACTCTCTCGCTTTTTCGATGATCCAGTGGATGTTGGCAATTTGATCTCTGACTCCTCTGCCTTTTCTAAATCCAGCTTGAATGTCTGGAAGTTTATGGTTCACATACTGTTGAAGCCTGGCTTGGAGAATTTTGAGCATTACTTAGCTAGCGTGTGAGATGAGTGCAATTGTGCCATAGTTTGAACATTCTTTGGCATTGCCCTTCTTTGGGGTTGGGTTGAAAACTGCCCTTTTTCCAGTCCTGTGGCCACTGCCGAGTTTTCCAAATTTGCTGGCATGTTGAGTGCAACACTTTCACAGCATCAACTTTTAGGATTTGAAATAGCTCTACTGGAATTCCATCACCTCCATTAGCTTTGTTCATAGTGATGCCTCCTAAGGCCAAATTGACTTCACTTTCCAGGATGTCTGGCTCTAGTCCAGTGATCACACCATCATGATTATCTGAATCATAAAGATCTTTTTTGTATAGTTCTTCTGTGTATTCTTGCCTCCTCCACTTAATATCTTTTGCTTCTGCTAGGTCCATACCATTTCTATCCTTTATTGTCCCCATCTTTGCATGAAATATTCCCTTAGTATCTCTAATTTTCTTGATAAGATCTCTAGTCTTTCCCATTCTATTGTTTTCCTCTATTTCTTTGCATTGATCACTGAGGAAGGCTTTCTTATCTCTCTGTGCTATTCTTTGGAACTCGGCATTCAAATGGGTATATCTTTCCTTTTTTCATTTGCCTTTCACTCCTCTTCTTTTCTCAACTGTTTGTAAGCCCTTCTCATGCAACCATTTTGCCTTTCTGCATTTCTTTTTCTTGGGGATGGTCTTGATCCCTGCCTCCTGTACAATGTCATGAACCTCTGTCCATAGTTCTTCAGGCATTCTGTCTATCAGATCTAATCCCTTGAATCTATTTTTCACTTCCACTGTATAATCGTAAGGGATTTGCTTTAGGTCATACCTGAATGGTCTAGTGGTTTTCCCTACTTTCTTCAATTTAAGTCTGAATTTGGCAACAAGGATTTCATGATCTGAGCCACAGTCAGCTCCCAGTCTTGTTTTTGCTGACTGTACAGAGCTTCTTCATCTTTGGCTGCAAAGGATATAATCAATCTGATTTCAGTATTGATCATCCGGTGATTTTCATGTGTAAAGTCTTCTCTTGTGTTGTTGGAAGAAGGTGTTTGTTATGACCAGTGTGTTCTTGGCAAAATTCTGTTAGCCTTTACCCTGCTTCATTTTGTACTCCAAGGCCAAATTTGCCTGTTACTCCAGGTATCTCTTGACTTCCTACTTTTGCATTCCAGTCCCCTATAATGAACAGGGCATCTTTTTTGGGGTGTTAGTTCTAGAAGGTCTTGTAGGTCTTCATAGAACCCATTCAGTTTCAGCTTCTTCACCATTACTGGTCAGGGCATAGACTTGGATTACTGTGATAGTGAATGGTTTGCCTTGGAAATGAATAGAGATCATTCTGTCGTTTTTGAGATTGCACCCAAAAACTGCATTTCGGAC